TGCTGACTACATCACTGCAGGATACAGTAATGATGTAGTGGTCAGCAGAAGGAACCAGGGAGAGCACCCCAGAAGGTCAAAACCCCCTGGAAGTGTTGGTTTGCCTGCAAACATCAGCCTATTTCTCAGGATTGGAATAAAGTGGGCAGAAGAAAATGTACTGTATGTACTGTATTTACAGTCTTCTTATGCATGTATGGCTTAATTTAACATCTTTGCTATAGTGACAGTACATCTAATGTGTTAGTCTATCAGCGGTCTGCAGGTTTAAAAACAAGAGTGAAAGTGTGTGAAGGACTGACAAGGGTGGAAGGGTAACAAGCTGAGCTCTGGGAGAAGCAGATATTGTCTAAATACAAGAGTCATGTGTATTCTACCTTGAACCTTGGGTCACTGCTGCTCTCTCCTTGTGCAGGGTGACTGGTCCTGTCTCCACTCCCCCTCCTGTAGTTTTCAGGAGGCAGCTTGTAGTGGGTGGTTTTCTGCACAGGGTAAGTACAACATCGGGATGGTGTCAACACTGCTTTTACAAGCTAATGAGAAATATATTTAAGTGAAGGTTTTGGGGGCCGGAATTCAGCTTTGGGACTAAGTTGCTTCGCATCTTTTTCCACGGCAAAAACGGTGCAGAGTGACAATGCTTTTTTTTCCAAGAGAGATAATAATTGGATAAACTTTACAGTCAAGTAGAAACATAACTTCCTTATAAATCAGTTACTCTGTTGCAATATTTTTTTTGATATCTGCAAAAGAAGATCAAGCATAGTTACTAGTTTGGTGGGTGGAGAGTCCTAGCTTCACTTTCTTGAAGAGCAATGGCACCCAAACAATTGCTTGAAGTTGAATCTGACTACCACTGAAACCACTACAGGACATAGTATAGCAGTGCTTGTATTCAGTTAGTACTCTGCACCAAAGTCAAGGCAGTACACTTTATATCTTTAGATGTTCAGATATTAGGCAATGTCAGCCTTTCAAGACAGAAGCACATATAATATATAAAGAGTATGAGAGCTCATCAATATCTAGATGCAGGGGCGTAACTAAAAATCATGGGACCCCATAGCAAAACTTTGGGGCTCCCCCGGCTAACTTTCTCCATAGAGGCTGGCAGATCCTGAGTTCTGATGTCAGCCCTCCTGTACTGGAAATCTCACAGTTTAATCAGCTCCATTAATTGGGGCCCCCTCCTACCCCCGGGCCCGATACCAGCAGCTGCATGGGCTGCTATGGCAATTGTTGTACCACTGTCTAGATGATAAAAAGAACGATCCCTAAAGAAGAGTAGAGGGTGCAAAATGATGCCTGTGCACCACTGTGAGGATTGTGTCAGGTCCTGGTTCTCAGTAGACTTGTGCAGCTATGAGCAGATACCGTATCCTTACTTATGGCCCTCAAGGATATATCTGTTGATTATGGACAGCCCAAATGGGTAACAGGGTGTGTCTTCCCAAATTTGAATGTGTAGAATAAATTAATTGGTGGATCCAGTGACCAGCTGGAGAGAAAATACTAGGCTGGAGTTTATGCCTAGAATAAGGGTACATTTAAAGTATATGCAAAGCCAAAACTTTTTTAGTTTTAGATAGAGTAGTGAAGGGTAAACCCATATCAGGTTATGTGTTGCTACCTGCATGCCACTGGGGAGATCTCCTCCACATCCTGTGCTGAAGACGCAGCATAAAATGAGAGAAAGTCTCTTCAATGTGAGCAGAATTTCCATCATAGAGAGTTGTCACAGGTGCAAGTGTCCCTTGAGGATTTTTCCTCACTTCTCAAGCTGATTAAAACCCAAATTTTTGGGATTTTTTCCCATCACTTTCTGTCTCGGTGACGATGGTCATCGAGACAAATAGAGAGGGTGAATGTCTTTAATGGGGACAGCAGTAGAAATGGCAATTCCTTTAACCCTTACCAATTCTATCCAAAAACAGAAAAAAAATGTTTTGCCTTTAACACTTTAATGCCTTGATGGGTTGGTGAACATCAGATGGAATAAGAAAGAAAGACGGAAAGAGAGAAAAATGGAATTGGAACTGTTTTGCCCAGAATGTCCCATTCATTTGCCTGTATCTTGGTAGGTGTGTATTTCCAAAAAATTTTCTCACCTCTAGTTTTCACATATCTTACAGAAATGGCCTCCACCGTCCAGCCTCGTGAATGTACTATAAGCAAAGAAGAGGGAAAGGGCTATGGATTTTTCCTGCGCGTAGAACAAGATGAACAGGGCCACCTCGTCCGGTCAATTGAAAAGGAGAGTTCTGCAGAAAAAGTTGGGCTAAAAGATGGAGACCGAGTACTGAAAGTCAATGGAGTATTTGTAGACAACAAAGAGCACCCTGAGGTAATGTAATTGTTGATTTGGGGTTACTTTTTAAGTGAACGAATGTGAAGACTACATTCTCAGTGATGTCACTGGTCTCTAGTGATTGAAAATGGCCGCATTCTCAGTGATGTCACCAGTGAATGCATAGGCTGCATTCTCAGTGATGTCACTGGTCTCTAGTGAAGGGATAGGCTGCATTCTCAGTGATGTCACCGGTCTCTGGTGAATGAATAGGCTGCATTCTCAGTGATGTCGCCGGTCTCTAGTGAAGGGATAGGCTGCCTTCTTAGTGATGTCACCGGTCTCTGGGGAATGGATAGGCTGCCTTCTTAGTGATGTCACCGGTCTCTGGGGAATGGATAGGCTGCCTTCTTAGTGATGTCACCGGTCTCTGGGGAATGGATAGGCTGCCTTCTTAGTGATGTCACCGGTCTCTGGGGAATGGATAGGCTGCCTTCTTAGTGATGTCACCGGTCTCTGGGGAATGGATAGGCTGCCTTCTTAGTGATGTCACCGGTCTCTGGGGAATGGATAGGCTGCCTTCTTAGTGATGTCACCGGTCTCTGGGGAATGGATAGGCTGCCTTCTTAGTGATGTCACCGGTCTCTGGGGAATGGATAGGCTGCCTTCTTAGTGATGTCACCGGTCTCTGGGGAATGGATAGGCTGCCTTCTTAGTGATGTCACCGGTCTCTGGGGAATGGATAGGCTGCCTTCTTAGTGATGTCACCGGTCTCTGGGGAATGGATAGGCTGCCTTCTTAGTGATGTCACCGGTCTCTGGGGAATGGATAGGCTGCCTTCTTAGTGATGTCACCGGTCTCTGGGGAATGGATAGGCTGCCTTCTTAGTGATGTCACCGGTCTCTGGGGAATGGATAGGCTGCCTTCTTAGTGATGTCACCGGTCTCTGGGGAATGGATAGGCTGCCTTCTTAGTGATGTCACCGGTCTCTGGGGAATGGATAGGCTGCCTTCTTAGTGATGTCACCGGTCTCTGGGGAATGGATAGGCTGCCTTCTTAGTGATGTCACCGGTCTCTGGGGAATGGATAGGCTGCCTTCTTAGTGATGTCACCGGTCTCTGGGGAATGGATAGGCTGCCTTCTTAGTGATGTCACCGGTCTCTGGGGAATGGATAGGCTGCCTTCTTAGTGATGTCACCGGTCTCTGGGGAATGGATAGGCTGCCTTCTTAGTGATGTCACCGGTCTCTGGGGAATGGATAGGCTGCCTTCTTAGTGATGTCACCGGTCTCTGGGGAATGGATAGGCTGCCTTCTTAGTGATGTCACCGGTCTCTGGGGAATGGATAGGCTGCCTTCTTAGTGATGTCACCGGTCTCTGGGGAATGGATAGGCTGCCTTCTTAGTGATGTCACCGGTCTCTGGGGAATGGATAGGCTGCCTTCTTAGTGATGTCACCGGTCTCTGGGGAATGGATAGGCTGCCTTCTTAGTGATGTCACCGGTCTCTGGGGAATGGATAGGCTGCCTTCTTAGTGATGTCACCGGTCTCTGGGGAATGGATAGGCTGCCTTCTTAGTGATGTCACCGGTCTCTGGGGAATGGATAGGCTGCCTTCTTAGTGATGTCACCGGTCTCTGGGGAATGGATAGGCTGCCTTCTTAGTGATGTCACCGGTCTCTGGGGAATGGATAGGCTGCCTTCTTAGTGATGTCACCGGTCTCTGGGGAATGGATAGGCTGCCTTCTTAGTGATGTCACCGGTCTCTGGGGAATGGATAGGCTGCCTTCTTAGTGATGTCACCGGTCTCTGGGGAATGGATAGGCTGCCTTCTTAGTGATGTCACCGGTCTCTGGGGAATGGATAGGCTGCCTTCTTAGTGATGTCACCGGTCTCTGGGGAATGGATAGGCTGCCTTCTTAGTGATGTCACCGGTCTCTGGGGAATGGATAGGCTGCCTTCTTAGTGATGTCACCGGTCTCTGGGGAATGGATAGGCTGCATTCTCAGTGATGTCACTGGTCTCTAGTGAATGGATAGGCTGCACTCTAAGTAATAGCACTGGTCTTAAGTAAATACTGAAATCATCTTTTTTTCTAAACAAAACAGGTCGTAGAGCTTATTAAAAACAGTGGAAATTCAGTCACCTTGTCAATCCTAGATAAAGATTCCTACAAAAAGTCAAAGCAAAATGGTGAGGACCTGTCTGGTAATAAGCCACCTTCAAAGGAAGTCACTTCATCAAAACCCAGCGAATCCTCAACACCAAAGCCAAGACTTTGCTATGTGGAGAAAGCCAATGGATCATTTGGATTTTCCCTAAAGTGCGTAAAAGGTAAGAAAGAATCCAAATTTTAATGCAAAAGTGGAAAAGTTCCAAATTCTTAGAGACCAAGGGTCAGAGTTATGGAGAAAATCTGGAAGCTCTAGGGACAGAGTTAGAATTAGCCATTTTAAATCAAGGAACATGAAGAAGCAGAAAAGAAGCCCTTTATAAAGGATAGTTCTGCAATGATCTTTAAAAAAAATGGATGTTTGCAATGTACATGCTGTATACATTGCAAACATACTTTTATTTTAGAATTCCAAAAATAAGGTGGAATTACCTTTTAAAGGAGAACTATGAGGTGAGTGATTTTCACTCAGCCTCTTAATCTGAGCCGACCTGTGACAATGAAACTGTCACAGGTCGGCTCAGTAGATCAGGAAGTGAGCGAACACATACCGGCGCAGTGCTACGCTAGGGGGCGGCTGGGGAGCCTCTCATCTAGAAAAGTGGAAGGCACGCGGCGACCCAATTTTGTGTCACGACCCACCAGTTGAGAACGAAGGCTTTATACCAATGGACAAACATTGTGAAGGGAAGCTTAGTATGAGTAATAGGTGGGTCAGCATTTAAAGCTGAACTGAAGTCAGATAATCAGGCCAGGGTTCAAACCAAGGACCCTATTGCCATAAGCACTACCCCCTAAACCACTGTGCCGCTCCATTCAAATTTTCTCAATTTTCACATTTTCTCTGCGAACAAAACTAATAATGCAGATAATTACACCATCTCACACCCATGTTTATCTATTTTCTTTTTTAAGGCACCACTGGTGTATTCCTGGAAAACCTAGCTGCTGGTGGAGCCGCCCTAAAGGCCGGAATCCAAACAGGGGACCGAATAATTGAACTGAATGGCAAGAATGTGAGCACTAACACGTATGATCAGGTTGTCAAATTGGTAAGTGGTAGTTGTCTGGTCAGCTCTTCAGTGTATTGTTAACGGACAAGTTTGTAGTCGGTTCTTGTAGTCACGGGTATTGGCACTATGACTTTAAAAGGAAAATCTTAAAGGGTAACTCCAGCCAAAGTGGAGTGGAAAAGTCGGACAGTGTATGGCAAGCTAAAATCTCAATAACGAAGTAGTAAAAATCCAATAGGGCCTTTAATTCTTCCTGGTTCTCTCCGAAACTAAAAAAAACGTGTTGCCTTGACTTACATTTTAAAATTTGTGTCAGGTTCTCCCCTTCTCCCCTCGATTCCTGTCATAACCTGACTGGAACAGAAATAAGAAGATATATCCCCAGTGGGGACACAGCAATAAAAGCTGCTGGACTAGAAGCAGATACATTGTATCAGCAAAACATGTTGGCCTTATTTTACTTAATGTAACAATAAATAAATTTGATCTTGGAAAAAAAAAATGATTGAATGGGCGTTCTCTTCCCATTTTGCTCACTAACCAATAAAAGGTTGTCACAGGCTCTTTTAATAAGGAGTTGCATTGCCATTTAATTCACTTGTCAGGTTATGGTCATGATCTAAAACAGGTATCAGAAAGGCACTTGGAATACCGACAATACCGGCGATTTTGCAGGGTGCCAAATAGGGCTGCAACAACTAATCGACATAATCAATAATATAATCGATTATTGAAAAAGTTGTCAACTTTTTCAATAATCGATTAATCGGCTTCCGATCAGTAGGCCCTGTTCACGGCTCCACACACGCTGCGCGCCGCACCTCCTCCCCACCTCACGCTCGCCGCTGCCAGACCCGCCCGCATCCATGCTCTTCACGCCGCATCTCCTCCCCGCCTCACACTCACCGCCCGCCCACATCCACGATCGGCACAGGGATGCGGGGAGATGTAGTGAGGAGCAGGCGTGGGGGGATGACAGCCGCCGATAGACAGGTCCAATCTCAGAAGCAAGTTGCTGGAAGACTGCTCAGGTAAGCCTGCACTTTCCCCCCCACATGGTGCTCTATAATGTATTGCTGGGATTTGTATTCCTCTATAGCTGATGGTACACTGTGCTGTATATTATACATAGGAATACAAATCCCAGCAATAGTACATTATACACTGTATGTATAATGTATTGATGGGATTTGTTGTACTCCTATATAGCTGGTGATATTCTGCACTGCGCTGTATAGAGGACTACAAAACCCAGCAACAGTACATTATACAGAGCAATGCAGAATACCGCCAGCTATAACGTACTATTGCTGGGATTTGTTGTATTCCTCTATAGCTGGTGATATTCTGCATTGTGCTGTATAATTTATTATTGCTGGGTTTTGTAGTCCTCTATAGCCGGTGCCATTCTGCATTGATTGCTGTATAATTTTACACTTTCCTTTTCACTATATTGCACACCACACATTTTTTTTTATTTTTTACTTCCACCGCTCCAAGCTTGCTCCTGTGATGGAGTGCAATCTCAATACAAACTAGTAGTCCATCACTGGAGCCATTTCTTAAAATGTATTTTATTGTTTATCCGATTAACCGATTAATCGAACTTAATAATCGGCTAACTAATCGATTTTGAAAATAATCGTTAGCTGCAGCTCTAGTGCCAAACCAATTTCTACGGCTCAATGGCCCTGGTGGAGCTGTCCTTGTCATACGGGGTCACCCTAATTGGGGTGCTTAAAAATCAGAATCTGTATATAGAAAGATGACATGAAGAATGCCAAAACACAAATGACTCCAAAAAAGCTTGAATCGGTCATCAAATAATTGAGAAAAAAAAGCCAATGGGTTTGGGGGTCTGAACACTCCCCTTCATCCAGGCTAGGATGTTATATGTATATATATGGCTTGGATATTGTATATAAGGCTTGGATAATGTGTATAATATATAAAGGACACAATTAAAAGGCAGCAAAACATTATAAATGTCACCGTGACAGGAAGTGAGGGAAAATCTCTCCTTTGGGACACAGCACTAAGGGCCCATTCACATCACATCCAGATTACCACCAGACCAGACTGTTTCCAGACCCAAAATGCATCCCAATGTATCCCTATGCTATTTCTGGCCTCTATTCCCACCAGCACAGTCCATTCCAGACCAGACCAGACCAGAAAAATACTGCATGTATCATTTTGTCTGGTCTGGAACGCACTGGAACGGGCATGGAACGTGTCAAAAACGCACTGGAACGGAACGGAACTGACTGGAAATAAAAAAAAACAGCTTTTGGCCAAGTGATGAGGAAGCATGGAGCCAGCTTCAGGGACAATCAGGAAGTCGGGGGGGGGGGGGAGCCATTACCCCCCCCCCCCCCGCGTC